TGCTAATGGTAGTGGAATGAAGTCCATGAAAGACTTTTAGCAGGAGAGTGACAGGATCTGAATTACACTTTAAATATCTTTCTGGCCCGGCCAGTGGGCTCAGTTGAGTGTCGACCTATGAACCAGGAGGTCACGGTTCAATTCCCATTCCTGGTCAGGGCACATGCCTGGGTCGCAGGTTCGAACCCCAGTGTGGGGCTTGCAGGAGGCAGCTGATCCATGGTTCTCTCTCATCGTTGATGTTTCTCTCTCTCTTCCTCTCTGAGAGCAATAAAAATATATTAAAACAAAAAACAAATTAAAAAGGAAGATAAGAACTGTTCAGCAAGGAACTGAAATTTTAATCTTAACTCCACTAGTATCTTACGTTAACGTCAACAGTGACCTGTTTGCCCGTTACGTGGTATTTTGTGGAAGAGCCACACTGAAGGGGCCAAAGAGCCGCATGTGGCTCACGAGCTGCAGTTTGCCGACCACAGACCTAGGTTTACACATAAATGAATGAGTATGTATGAGCCAGTGAAACTCTAAGGCCACTGAAATTTGAATTTTATTTAATTTTCACGCATCATGAAAGTTTCCTTTGATATTTTTCTCCCTCAGCAATTTAAAAACGTAAAAACAAGTTGTAGCTCATGGGCTGTACAAAAACAAGCTGGGCTCTCTGCTTATGAATTAGGGATATTGCCTATTTCTAGTATAATATGAGGTTTTGTGAAACTAAGTCATTCATTAAGTATTTGTGAAGTACTAAGATAAAAATCAGAAGGATTCCAACTCTTTTAAAGGAAGGTAGTATACAGGTAAAGGACCTATTTTTCCCCTAACATTTTGTTTTGAAATGTTTAACCCACAGAGAAGTTGAAATACTTTTGCCACTTGGCTTGCTGTTGCGTTGGTGAGTGTGGTCGGGGAGCCGAGCTCGAATAAAGATTCTTAGGCTTTTGCATCAGAAAAGAAAAACAAACAAACAAACAAAAACAGGCTGGGTTTGGCCTGCAGGCTGTCGTTTGCCAACCTCTGTGCCGTTTGCCAACCTCTGTGCCGTGGCATTACATCCGAAGGCTCATGGTTAGCAGGCTGTCCACTGCTTAAGACAACGGCCATCCGTTTTCTTCGTTTGCAAAAATACATGTTTCCTATTATAATTTGACAGTCATCCATGGGATCATAATTTGAGATCATGTGACAGGCCTTGTCCTCAGCAGCTTTCACATGTAGTTTTTGTCTTATGTACTGAGGATTCTTGGCCCACATCAGTAATTATGCTGGGAGTTGCAAAATGGTAGAAGGAAAATTAAAATGGTTTTTCTGCATTATTGATTACCCTTTTTCTGTGAAAAGAGCCTTCCTTTTGCCTTCTAATTTTTTGGGTAATATTAGTACGTACCCATGAACCTTTTTAAATACAGTGTACTCAAAGCATTGCTCAAAGTGAGCCATATTTGGCCACCTGGGCCCTTCTAGTTTGCTCATGTGTCCTTCTGACCCCTTTAGTCCTTGGAAATGTTTATGGCATAAACTATCCAAGGCTCACTTTGTACATTCCTTGCCCCATCCTGGTAGCAGCCATTTCTTTTTTTCATTGTATGTCTTATTATTGAGTTTGAAGAATTCTTTGCGTATTCTGGGTATAAGCCCTTTATTGTATATATATGTAGCACATATTTTTCCTAGTCTATGGCTTGTCTTTTAATTTTCTTAGTAGTGTCTTTTGAAGCACAGAAAAGTTCTGAATTTTGATAATGTCCAATATATCTATTTTTTTTCTTACATAATTTTGCTTTTGGTATTGTGTATAAGAAAGTATTTGCCTAATTCAGGTTCTTAAAGATTTTCTGCTGTTTTCTTCCAAAAGTTTTATAGTTTTAGCTCTGACACACAGGTTTCTGATGTATTTAAGGACTTTTTTAAGTAGGCTGTGTTACACTTTTAAGATGTAAGTAATGATTCCTTTTTTGTTTATCTGTTCTAGGCAAGACAGCAAGGAGATTTCAGTAATAATTATATATGTCCCTTCAGCATTGCCCTCCTGCTCTCTGTAGCAAGAATACAAAGGTTTGAGGAGCAGGTATTTATTAATGACTTTTTGGTTCCTTCTATAGCTGATACGGAGTTCAAGAGCCTTTATTTTTTTATTATTATTATTGTCCTTTCCTAAACAATTCCACCTCAATCCTGCCAGCAGCAAATTCCTCTACAAGACATGTAGGGCCCTAGCCAGTTTGGCTTAGTGGGTAGAGCGTCGGCCCTCGGACTGAAGGGTCCTGGTTCAGTTCCAGTCAAGAGTCTGGATCCCCGGGCTTTGTGCAGGAGGCACCAGTTGATGTGTGTCTGTCTCTGTCCCTTCCACTTTCTCTATGGAAAAGTATCCTCGGGTGAGGATTAACAACAATAAAAAAAGACATGTAGACCCACACTGTTGTCTGGGGTGTCCCTCAGCCCAGCCTGCACCCTTGCCAATCTGGGATCCCTTGGGAGATGTCCGACTGCTGTCAGACATCCCTCTCACAATCTGGGACTGCTGGTTCCCAGCCGCTCACCTGCCTGTCTACCTGATTGCCCCTAACCACTTCTGCCTGCCGGCCTGATTGCTCCCAACTGCTCTCCCCTGCCGGCCCAATCGCCCCAAACTGCCCTCCCTTGCAGACCATCTTGTGGTGGCTATCTTGTGCCAGTGTGTGATGGTCAATTTGCATATTACCTCTTTATTATATAGGATTAGCTTTCCAAGAAATTGTCCCACGTTGAAATAATGGTGTATAGGTTAGTTGCAAGGATGAAAGCATAAAATCCTTTGCCCTTTTTGCTCATGTGTTCTCTACTTGTGGGAAGGCCTGTCTCTTAAGTTCCCACTGAAAGTCATAATTTTTATGTCATACTCATCTAGTGAGACAGTTGTCATGGGGATATGAGAGTAGAGCAGCAAGTAGGAACTATGACAAGGTTAAGATTCTGTGGCAGGGAACTTCATCTTTTGCTTCATTTTCCTATTTCTTTCATTGTATTAGGTGTTTGACCTTTTAAAGGCTTCAGTTTTTAAAAGCTTTAAGGATCTTCAACTTCTCCAAGGCTCCAAATTTCTTCAGAATCTAGTCCCTCATCGGTCCTGTGTTTCAACCATGGTCTTGGAAGTGGTAAAGAACAGGTGAGTTCATGAACCACACCCAGTAGGTTCCTCAGGTGTTTGGTGTGAGAAAACGTGATGCCATACCTATGGCCCATCAGAGAAAACTGCTGACATGTAATACAGTTCATGTTTGTGTAAGTTCCCTTTTAACCCTTTGAGTGCCAACCAATATCCTAGGGCAGTGATGGCGAACCTATGACACGCGTGTCAGAGGTGACTGGGTCAAGGTTAACCCTTTGAGTGCCAACCAATATCCTAGGGACTATGCTAAAATTGCCAAGGCATTTTTGCTGATTTTATAGCAGTTTAGGAAAAAAATTATGAATCACAAGTAAATGAAGTTACATATTCAAAAACTTAAGGAAACCTTTACTGCATTGACATATTTAGCAATATCATCTTCACTAATAAAAGCAGACTTAGAACTAGATGCCATTTCAAAGCTTTGATAGCGCTCCCGGCACTTTTGGCGAAAGACAGGAGCAGCGCGATCGTGCTCCCCGCACTCAAAGGGGTTAACTTATTACTGGTTGATATTGGTGTGCCCTTTCACTGTAAGAATTCCTGTCTTCCCCAAACGCTGATGTTTTTTCCTTTTATTTTCTTTGAATAACCCCTTTCCCTTTTTTCTCTGTTCTCTCCCATTAGCCATTGGACTTGCTTGATCTCTGTGCCATATCTCTCAATTTTTCTTTCATGCTTTTCATACTGTTGTCTTTTTATGTGAAGTTCTACAAAAATCCCTTAACTCTTTCTTCAAATTAATTTGTTCTTCAGCTCTCTCCATTTTACTCATCGGTGCATCAGTTGGGTTTTTCACTCCAGCAATCATGTTTTTCATTTCCAAAATTTCCAGTTTCTTTTATAACAGTTTTTTTGTTTTGTGTCATGCTATTGTATTCTTTGTTTTTTTTAATCCTCACCTGAGGATATTTTTCCATTAATTTTTAGGCAGAGTGGGAAAAACAGAGAGAAATATAGATGTGGGAAAAACACATTGATTGGTTGCCTCCTGCACACACCCTGACCAGGGCTCTGGCCCAGGAGGAGCCTTGCAACCAAGGCTCTTGACCAGAATCAAACCTGGGACCCTTCAGTCCGCAGACCAACGCTCTATCCACTGAGCCAAACCGGCTAGGGCCATCCTATTATATTCTTACTAGAGGCCCAGTGCACAAATTCGTGCATGGGAGGGGTCCCTCGGCCTGGCCGGTGATCGGGGCCGATTGGGACTGTCTTGCCCAATCCCAGTTGGGGCTGGCCAGCTGGTGGGGGGTTGGCTGGCCGGAGGGGGGGTAGGGGGGGACCAAAGGAGGTTGGCCGGCCTCGGAGGTTGGCTGTGGGAGCGCACTGACCACCAGGGGGCAGCTCCTGCGTTGAGCGTCTGCTCCCTGGGGGTCAGTGCGCGTCTTAGCAACCAGTAGTTCAGTCGCTTAGGTTTATATGTATATATAGAGGTTTCTCTGAGGATAATCATTGTACTTTTAAAATCTCCCATGTGTTCCAGTAACCTTTTCCCTCAGATATTAGTTCTATTCAGTGAATCTGGTGCTTCTCTTTCAAGACGGCTTTTTTTTCTTGTATTTGGTGATTATTGCTTGTCTCCTTCCTGTTTCTGGCGTTCCCCATTAGTTCGTCTCAGGGAGCCGCACCTACTTAACACCGTCTGGCTCTGATCTGATAGCAGTAGATGTGGGCTGATCTAGGCGTGTGGCCCCAGATCCTCCCACGTGTCGCCATCCTCCCCGAGAGCCGCTCTGCTAGGCCCAGGATCCTCTGCTCACACGTGTCAGCTCAGGGCTGTCTTGTCATGGCTCACTGGTTGGCATAAAGTGGGGACAGAGCGGGTTTTGGAGGAGAAGGTGGAGAAGGATGCTGTGTACCATACGGATGCATGAGAAGGGACGGTTCAGGTGAAGACGGTTGGTTATGGTTATTGGATCAAGTTTGGGAACTGTAACATGGCAACGAAGATAAAGGTAAGGTGTTTCACTACGCTTTTTTTTTTAACTAAGCTTTGTTTTCTTGCAGTGTCCATAGTTGGGATCATGTTACCCAGGGCCTGGTCCAGTTTGGTTTCATTTTAATGGATTCATACGGGCCGAAGAAGATTGTAGACGGACAAGCTATTGAAAGCAGCCCCGGTCTTTCTAGAACACCAAACCAGCATGCATGTAAGCTGGGAGGCGACATCCTGTTGGAGACTTTTAAGGTGAGACTCTTGTTTGGCAACCACTTCCTGATTTCATTAAATGATATCATAAATGGGGCATGATGTGTGCTGGAGTTTGGAGGACAGGAAATTGGAGTTTCGGGAACAGATTGGGGTAGTAATTGACACATCACAGTTTTAGTTTAATGGAATACATACTTCCTCATCTTTTATTTGTATGAGGTTTTCATTCTGTTTTTTATTCATTCTGATAATTTCTTTTTTTAAACA